AGGTTTAAACACCTGAGTTTCCTAATGTGCTCGCAGCCTGTTACAATTCTAGACAAAGGGTAGTAGCAACTTTAATTCATAACTTTCACATTCCAAACAATGCCCAAAGGCAAGATTAAGATTGCATACATATCTATTAGACGTGTTGCATTTACTTTAGATCTCAGTCTTATGCTTCAGTGTGTAGGGTTTCAAGGTTGAACATGACGTATAAATTGTAAAAAAATAAAAAAGGGTGTGTTTTCTTTCACTTTATGACATATAACTCTCCATGAAGGGGGAAGATTGTGCAGACTTTACTTTAGAAGCACAATGAATAACAGATCCTGTACTTCAGGCAACTTAAAACTCCATGAACACAAAATTCTACCTGCCATTTATGCCTTTGTTATGATTGTTGGTCTGGGAGGAAATGGATTGGGACTAAAGTCTCTGCTGCAGAAAAAGAAGAAACTTCGACACATTAATCTGTTCCTTCTGAACCTTGGAGTTGCTAATTTTTTATTCCTGCTAACACTCCCATTTTTGTCAGCGTACTACTTTATGGACAGTAAATGGATCTTTGGAGATGCCTTCTGCAAGATCACAAGATTCTGCTTCAACCTGAATTTATACGGCAGCATTGGATTCCTCACCTGTATAAGTGTGTACAGGTACCTGGCTATTGTCCATCCAATGAGGATGATGGGGAGAATAACTGTGACTCACTCTGTGGCTATCTCAGTTGTGGTTTGGCTGTTGGTGATTGCTCAAAGTCTTCCAGATATCTTCTTCTCCAAAATCTCACCAAATAAAACTGAAGAATGCTACCATACCACCTCTAACGAGTATGTGGAGGATTATCTGAAATACAGTGTGGGTTGGACATTGACTGGGTTTGTTATGCCACTCCTTATTTTACTTGGCTGCTATGGACATGTGACTCTTGTTCTCTGTCATGCAAATACCATAAAGGAGGTGGTGAAAAAACGAGTTTTAAAGTTGTTATTCATCTTGTGCCTTCTCTTCTCGGTTTGTTACATCCCCTATCATATTTTCAAGAACCTCAGCCTTTATTCAAGAGTTTTGTCAAAACAAGGGGAATGTCCAGATTGGGATGAGGGAGTCTTTGGGGCTCATCAAATAAGTCGTGGAATTGTGTGTTTGAACAGTGTTTTGACTCCCCTGGTTTACCTCCATGTAAAGGATTTCCCTACTCGATTCCAACAGCTGCTCCAGCGAACTCGCCAGATCTTTAATTGGCCGAAATCAAGGAGTGGCAGAATCCCTGTGACACAGTCTGATAAAGTTTAACAAGTTTGCCATATGTTAGAAATCTTAAAAATGTTTTAAATAAACCAGCTCTACACGCATGCATCTTTGTTGTAATTGTAATCCCACTGTACAAAATTTCACTGGTTTTGACTAAGTCAGTGCGGCACCCATGAGTATTTTGGGCATCAAGAACAAGTCTCAGATGTGTTCCTTATGTGTTCGTGCAAGAGGTTGTCAAATGTGCAGAGAGGCTCAGCTTGGTGACCTCTGTAGACACTGTTACCGTTGTGTTCAGGAGCGTCACCTGTCTCGAGGGTGTATACAGGAAACAGGAGCGGGCTACTGAGCTACAACCCACAGTAGCCCACTCATCATCCAGGTCCCAGGTAAATCCCGTCTCTGTGCAAAACATCTCACATGAACAAGCACCACAAAATGACTCTACACACACTGAAACTGCCCCCAAAGAGTCAAACAGCAACAAATTGACAAGCGACACATCTAATGGTTATATACACTGATAACAGCAAACCAAGCTCATCAGTCTCACTGGGAAAAGATGTACAGTTCAGTGTCACCTGGATAAGGTACCAGTAGAGGCCCTGTGGGACACCGGAGCTCAGGCAAGTCTTATTAAGAATGAGTGGCAAAAACAACACCTACCACACAGCACTGTCAGGCCACTTGCTGAGCTTTTGGGAACAGAACCTCTTGTCGCTTTAGCAGCTAATGAAATCCCATATGATGGGTGAATAGAGACAGAATTCTATTTGGACTGTAACCCTGAAAATTGTCTTCTAGCTCCAATGCTTGTATCCAGTGACCCGAGTGTTGCTCAACTGCCCATTACTGGATTTAATGTAATAGAGGAAGTTGTGCGTAAATGGGGCAAGTGTCAACCAAGATCACGCAACATTCAAAAAATCAGCTCAGTATTGGTAAACACTGCTAAATCAGTGCTAAAACTATTGCAGTCACCAGACCAAAGCCAAAGTTTGGGCACAGTACTGGCAGGAAAGAGAGGACGATGTCTGGCTGCTGAACAGATTACCACTACATATGTCCGTGCACATATTGGAGCGCAGTTTTCAGGACAGAGTCTGTTGTTTGTCCCAAATGAACCATCACAGTTGCCTGAGGGTCTTGTCATGCAAGAGGGACTGGTCACAATAACGGAGGTCAGGGCAGTGTATAACCCAGTTGCGATAGTTAATACCAATAAAGGGGATGCCAACTTAATTCCTCACACTGTTCTAAGACATCTGGAAGAAATAAAAGCAGTGTACCCCATCACCCCTGAAAAGACGCAAGACTCGGTGGAGCAGATTTCTTCACAGTCTCCTACACAGGTAAATGAGGATATTAACACATCCTCCTCCAGCCATAAGCCACCTCAGTGGGACCCTCCAGTTAAGATGGACCATCTCAGTAAAAATGAACAACAAACTGTGAGACAGCTGTTAAGAGAGGAATGTCATGCTTTTGCTTATGATGATAAAGATGTTGGGTGCATCCCCAGTTTAAACATGCACATCACATTGCATGACACAACACCTGTTCAAAAGACCTACATATCCATGCCAAAACCTCTGCACCAAGAGGTCAAAGACTATCTTCAAGATCTGCTGAACCATGGATGGATTTCAGAGTCCAGGTCACCCTACTCATCTCCAATTGTCTGCGTTCAGAAAAAGTCAGGTGAACTGAGATTGTGCTGTGATTACAGGGAATTCAACCGGAAGTCAGTACCAGACACGCACCCAATCCCCAGAATTCAGGACATGCTAGATTCCCTTCATGGCAGCTCATGGTTCTCTGTTCTGGATCAGGGGAAAGCATACCATCAGGGGTTCCTGGACCCTGACAGCCTTCATCACACCTTGGGGCTTATACCAGTGTAACTGCATACCCTTTGGCCTCAGCTCAGCCCCCGCAGAGTTCAGCAGAGCATGGAGGACTGTTTAAGGGGCCTGCGGGATGTAATCTGTCAGCCATATTTGGACGACAACCTTGTCCACTCTCCTTCATTTGATACTAATCTTGAACACATCAGAGCTGTCCTACAGAGATACCAAAAACATGGTATCAAACTCAGCCTACAGAAATGTGACATTTTCAAGAGAAAGGTATGTTTCCTTGGTCTGATGGTGTCTGAAGAGGGATATACCATGGACACAGTGGAAATAGTTCTCTACAAGCTCTCAGAAACAAACCACCATCCACAGTGGGGGAACTGAGTTGGGTCCTAGAATTCCTGTCCTACTATAGGTCCTATAGTATATATGGATAAGGTCTTCAATCATTTTGCTCTGAACTTTGCTTTCCCAGCACGAATCCACCATGACATGGGCAGGGGATTTGAGAATCACATGTTTTCTCAGCTGCAAAAAAGTCTGTGGTCTGCATGGCTCTCACACCACCCCATATCATCCACAAGGATGGGCAAGTGGAGCATTTCAACAGAACTTTATTGTCCATGTTGAGAACACTAACTAACCTTGAAAAGGCAGACTGGAAGTAGTCACTGGCAAAAGTAGTGCACGCCTACAACTGCACTCGGATTTTTCCTGTACTCTTTGTTGTTTGGCCGTACTCCGAGACTTCCTTTAGACATCTTGTTCAACTTGCCTTCACAGGAACAGCAATTAAGCTACGTGGAGTATGTGACAAAATGGCAACCCCGAATGAAGGAGGCCTATGAGACTGCATCAATGGCAGTCCAGAAAGAAGCTTCAAGAGATAAACCGTCAGATCTATGGAGCTCAACATCACCCAGGGAACAGTGTCCTGCTCCACAGCCTCAAAAAGCAAGGAGGCCCAGGCAAGCTTCAGTCACACTGGGAGGACACAGTATATGTGGTGGTGAGTCAAAAAAGCCCTGACATCCCAGTTTATGAGATCAAGCCAGAGAGGGGAGGGAAAAGCCGCACAGTACACAGGAACCTGTTGCTTGCATGTGACAGCCTACCTGTAGAAAAACCACACAGACAGGAGCAAAACAAAAGATGTAAAAGCCTAAGACAAAAAGGGGGGGAGAAGTTCAACAACATCTACTACAGCAAGACAAGGACATAGAGAGTGAAGATGAGGGTGAGGTTGTCTGAAGGTTTCCACAGCAAAATAGTACCACCAGCATTATCCCTCAAACCCTGAAATCTGAGGTGGGTGAACAACAACTGGGAAAGCCTCAAACCGCTTCTGTAGATGTAGACTTCCTCACATCTTTCTGTCTCTTCATGTAATCCCCTTCCTGTTGTCCCTTTCTTACAGGACAACAGAAAGGTACACGAACCTGAGTTGCAGACAATAGAGCAACATTACAACCAACAGAAGTCACAAGATGAGCAAATATCAGATGAACAACAAGATGAGCAAGGAAACAGTGACTCGAGCAGTGAACAAGGGTTGTCACCTGTCCTCAAACACCCCAAGAGAGAGTGACAACAGTCCAAACTGCTGACATACGACGTGTTAGGACAACCCACAGTCAGACAAGCTGATATGGACAATATTAAAACGGGAGCTATTTGCACCCAGGGACTGTGGAGGCCTTGGTGGCCTGAAGATATATACCAGCAAGGTGTGAGAGACAGTAATAAGAAACTGATCCAGAATAAAGACATTAACCCTCTGGGGTCGACGGATGCGCCGGCACGTCAAGATCACATGACCAATTTAAGACGAAACAGCTACAAGATGCAGCGACTCAGAGACTCCATATAACCTTGGGTCAGACTATATACCAGTCTTTAAATTGTGTCGATAGGCCATGTAAAAGCAGAGTTATGATAAAAAATACATGCAATGTTTTTTTTCTGAACAAAACAGTGGTGTTTACAGCGGGAAGAAATGGTAAAAACGGTGTTTTCTAAGGACAGCGCTAGCAAATACTCTCCGCTGGCGAGTGGAAAACGAAAAAACACCCCTTCCCTTTTGGTGTTAAAGTGTGCCATTTCAACCAATCAAAAAATGATATGGCAACATGTGGGACTTGGTTGTTTAGGAAGAGGGGGAAGTTTTAGGAGTGATGCCCGTGAGAGAAAGCGAGTGAGTGAAAGAAAGAGAGAGAGCGAGTTTTCACATGTGAGACATTAGTGACGTGTAGCGTGTTTGGAGGCTATAGTTAGCGTGTTGTGTTGTCAATGTTTTGTTTTGTGTGTCAGTTATACAAGTGAATGTCACATTTGCTCCAAAAAAGCCACCAATGGCAGATTCTGGTGTAAACACCGTCTCCACATGGAAAACAGGACTGACACACCTCCTGTTGTCAGACCTGCAGGGTTTAGGCCTGTGGTGTTCTCCTCTGTCTTATAGTGGACACAAATTCTTATTTGATGCAAAACACCTGATTGTTTTGTAAATAGTTTTAAATGGTTATATAAAAAACTCCTGAGGCCATGGCTGCATTTTAGGTAAATAGTACCATATAACTTTGTTTGAAAAACTTGTGCATAATTTTCAGAAATGTACCATTTCTATTTGCATTTCAAGTTATGAAAATGATTCGTTAAACATGTTTGTGGTTTTTACAGTAAAAAATATAACTTTTTTTCTACTCTGATTTGTATTTTTCTTTGTCTGAATTTAGATCAATTGTTCTAATATAGTATGTCAAAATGAAAAAAATTACTCAAATTTCTGATATTTGAGGTTGTGCTGAAAATAATGATACCATGGACAGCAAGATAAACAGTTTTTAAAAGTAAAATATAGAGATAAAATCAAAAGTAGTCAAAAACGGCCAATTATACCCTGGACCCCATAGGGTTAACATGAACATTGTGACAAGCAGAAAAGAGCAAACACACCACCAAAAGACAATGGACAGAATGGTGTGGCTGAATATATGATGGTGATGACCATCTGTAAAAGTGCCTTAATATGTAAACAAATTTAGTGTATTGTTGTCCAAATATTGAGTCTGGTTACAATCGAAAATTCATAGTAACTTGTTCATTAACCTTGAGGAAGAAAAATTACTTGGCACAACATGAATCATGATTAGCTTCTACTATGAGTTTTAATTTGCTGAATGTAACATAGTGTGGGAAATGTTTCATTGAACAGATGTCATTAGTATGTGTAACCATAATTGTTACTCAGGGATAAGTATACTAGTAGTACAAAAGAAATGTCCTGATAACAGCAAACATGTGAAAAAAGTTTGGGAAAAATAGAATCCTTTTTTTCTCACACCATTTTTTTGTTTTTGTTTTTGTTGTTACAATAGTTTGCATCAGCACAGAGCAAAAAGCTCATTTGCTCCCACATGATGTGATATTAGGGCGATATTTAGTTTCGCCAGTAGGTGGCAGTGGCGGCTCAGACAAACGGGTGACAGGCAAAATAATCCCTGACAAAAGTAACGCAGGCCAGTTATTGTAATGGAAGCCGTCAGTAACACAGAACTCTTTTGCTGTGTTTCAGCACAATAAACTGCTCCTCACATACAAGGTCTTAAATAATCAGGCCCCATCTTATCTTATTGACCTTGTAGTACCATATCACCCCATTAGAGCACTTCGCTCTCACACTGCAGGCTTACTTGTTGTTCCTAGAATATTTTGAATGGGAGGGAGCGCCTTCAGTTTTCAGGCCCCTCTTCTGTGGAACCAGCTTCCAGTTTGGATTCGGGAGACAGACACTATCTCTACTTTTAAGATTAGGCTTAAAAC